ATCCAAAATATTCAATTTAACGTCGGTGAAATCTATTTGACAGGAGAAATCTGGGAATGGGGCAAAATTCCGGTCTAATTCATACAATTCTCCATAGTTCATGACATGTACGATATGTATGCTGGGAACATGTTTTCCCCCGTTCTTTAAATTTGTATACACATCGCTGGTCAATACATTTTTCAGACAAATCTCTACTTCCTGCAGAGCAACTTAATCAAAAATAAGAAATCATTAAGAGTCAAAACAAATTCAGCATTAATGAAAACCTTGCCTGGATCCACATTCACGGTTGACAAAATATTTAAATCCAACTGCAGACAGCAAAGGTTTTATAAAATCCTATTGAGTAAGAGGCCATACATTTTACATCCTTCAACCATTCGCCTAACCTAACCTAACTCGAGAATAGGTCAGATCATTGATTGACAGTTTGATCAGTCGATTGAAATTTTTCAATTGGACAAAGCTTAATCAGAATCAACTTGATTGTATTCTACAATGCCTAATTTCTTCTCATAATTTATTTTTTGACTAGAAAACTGAGCAACAGCACCTTACATCTTTTTACATATTTTTCTTGGAAAGTGAAAAAATGTTCTCACAAAAATTTCAAGGCAAAACGTTGCTAGGTTTTCTTGTGAAAAAAAAAAAACAAACAAACAAAACAAAACATGAGAGAAAATTAAGCAACGTCAGAAATATTTCCTCTGACTCTGGTTAATTCTGGTAAGTCATTCCTTTCTCCCTTGAGGAAAAAAAAATTACATGGATTAAAACACAAAGAAAGTATGACTCTTTACAAACTGGTGTTTCTAATAATGTGACTGAAAATTGCAAAAAAAAAAAAAAAAAAAAAAAAAAAAAAAAAATTGCATGAGTGCTTGGTTCCTGATAAGAACCACTACTTTGAGCTATTAAAATTGAACTCCAATATTGAAGATTATCTCGATGGAAGTTTTACAGGTGTATTCACTGTTGGCACCTAAAAACTTTAGAATAAGTATATTGAATAAGAAAACTGAGAAAGGGTTGAGGGTAGATATTAAATCCAGTTTCTACTTAGTTTTGGCAAGAGCATAGCTGCTTTCTGAGGAGGGGCGGCTATAGTTACACTGTCATGCTCGACAACACATGTGTCGAGCATGCGTTTGTGTGTTGCCAAATTTACCCTCTTATAATATTCATTTCTGAGAAAACTGTTAAATATTTCTGTATGGAATTTTTAGATACTTTGAATCCAATTGCGAAGTGAGTTCTCTGAAAATTTGACAGAAAATATTCACAAGTTTTCCGAAGTATTCATGTCTTATCGAAGGAACTACAGCAACCTACAAAGATTTATGCAGCCTTCTTCCTTAGCATGGCAGTATGGGAATTGTTTGTGATTGATTGATAAAAGGTCATTCTAAAAACTCTCCTTCCTTTTTTGTATTTCATTTCTGAAGTTTACAAAGTTGTTTTGGAGTGTATTAAAAGATGAACCTACTGGCAACAATCCTTACAAGAAAACCTTTTAGAGAACTCTCTGGACAGTCATCAGTAAGGCAAATGCTGCTAATAGGCTGTACAGACTCAACTAACTTGATCAAAAAAAATCAGAACGCAGTCTTGGTGCCCTTTTTGTGGAAAAATTTCTTGCTATGCATTGCTAAAGACTCCATTTAAGAGATGGGTAAAAATTTTACATCAATAAAAAAGGAAAATACCTAATTTCTATAAGAGCTTAAACACTATTCCTGCAGGTGAGATTCTTGGCCAATATTTGAGAGGCGTGAAGATTGATAGTAGTGAAAAAAAAGTAAATAAAAATACAAAACTTTGAATCACAGATAAACTTCCTTGAAACTAACCAAACACAGCATTCCGCAGGTGTCAGCTTAGTTTTGTACAGAGAATTGACCATGTCAAAAAAGATTGCGATTTCAGATCAAGTGCCTCTAACCTCTCATAATTAACGTCTGTAATCATACAATGATTTAACTTCTGATTACATCTAAAAAGCCTTAATAAAAAAATATCAGGAAGATATCATGATGGATCTTCGTTCATGTTCTTCTCTTGTCATCTGAAAAATTATTCTAACCGAAAAAATAGGATAACAATGCTTAGACTTATAATAATACAATGAACAAATAATAGTACATACAAATATCTGAGTACAATGTATAACATAACAATTCAATACACTATCGTACAATATTTACAGCACAATTTATACACAGTTTATTTACAATGATCAAAATACAGTATAAAAATTAAAAAAGGGGTAAACAACAAGAGCCATCTAATTCTATCAAGAGGATTTTCCTGTACTTTCATATGCTCCTAAATGTATTCAATTTAGCAGGAGGGACCAATTTGAATACAGAATTGTAAAAATCGTGCGTCTTAATCTGTATCTAAAAAATGCCTGAAATTTTAGAGGAAAACGATGGTCCCAATTTGATCACTGATTACTAAACACAAATTTAGTATTTTTTAAAGCAGAGAAGAAGTAACAAGATTTCAAAAACACTGTTGTAAAGTTGGCTCTCTTCTCCTAGGTACAATCTGTATTTCATGAGTATGAACTTCTGAAGTTCAAAGGGCACACCCGTGTTTGTCAAAGAACATATGCCTACAATAAAAGAATGAACATTTCTGTTGGTATTTTCTTTTCTGTCAGAACAACTACTGAAAGTTACAGCTTTAAATTTCATTTTTCTCCCCCCCCCCCCAAAAAAAAAAAAAAAAAACCTGAACATTTTTTAAAGAAACTAAAAAAGCATAATTTCCGTACATACATTCTATCTGACTCAAGCTACCAATATGTATTGGAATCAATGAATTAGTGCACCACAAATCTGAACTCTGGGGACAGTAATAATGAGACTAACAAAGAGGAAGGCGCATTAGTCTTTAAGAAACACTCAAGACACAAGACAAAATCAAATTATGGTCGGAGCCTATAATCACAATAAATTCTCAGAATGAGAATAATTGAGAGGGGAAAATCGTTAATAAACTACATAGTATCAAGTCTCAAAATCACCGGTTTTCTTCATCTTATTTTAACAACAAGGTGTTTCCTCTATCAAATTTCATTTGAAGAATACAAGATTATCCTTCGAATTTAAAAGATGACTTTATTTTATCATCCCTTACATTAATATAATTTTAAAAAATTGCAGTATCTTTAAAACTAAGACCAATCACAGTGGTTAGAATCCTGACACGCAGGAAACAAGAGAGATATTTGATATCTAATTCGATCTAATTTGATATCATAACTTAACCAACTCACATTTACAACAAAATTGAGTTGAATGTTATTTCGCTTAGCAAGTTGTTCATATTCTCCTGTTGGAAAGTCAGTGTGGACAAAATATTTTTAGGTAAAAATAAGGGTTTAAAAATGATATTTTACATCGAGTCTTGCGGAAAGATAAAACTTTAAACCTCTAATCAGTGTCAATTTGATAAGTCTCTTCCTGCTGAATTCAGTCAAAATACAAGAGAGAACTTTTGTGTTAGATATCCTTAGATTATACAAAATGGCATTTCAAACAGGCACAAAAAAATCATTACTTATTTTAAGATACAGATCTCTGAGAGAGAGTATAAAATGCACACTGAGTTGAAGACTTTTTATTGGCTTCCAAAAATACTATACTAAAAAACCTCTGCTTCTGAGATTTCAACATTTTTTGGATCTGCAGACACCCTGACTGCACAAGAATTTTAAAACTCCAATTACATCATACACAATGAAAGATGCGTTTGAAATCTGTCATCAAACTTTTCTACGCATCTAGCTTTAGTAGAGTGAGTCATTCAGAATTCTTAAAAAATAGTCCACAGCGAGTGTGATTCATGAGACAAAACAGACAATGGTACACGAAGAATTCCCTGATAAATGTTCATCATAGTACTGAGAAAAGAATGATCGATTTTGATCACTTTATTACTTGTCATGCATACGTGTCATCACTTCTTCTGATTTCGTTCGCAATCATTTTTTATTCTGTCATTGTGTGGGTATTTCCAAAGATTTGATGCTGATATGACTGAGTCAAAAGTTAATTATTTCCCTTGAGTGAACATTCAAAGCCATGGCACTTATGGAAGTTATAAATCAAAACAAAAAGCTCACCAAAACACTTACTGATGTAATATCAGGGTGCCTGGAACTCGTAAATTTTCTCATTTTCCCTCAGGGTAACCACAGAATTTATAAAATGAATTTCCCTGATTTGCAGGACACATTTTTGTGAAATTCCTTGACACTTAGGCATAATTTGAAATAGTTTTCAGGCAAACTTCGTTGTTCGAAATGTTACACCCATTTTAAAAAGCAAATAAAGGTGACTTAACAATTTTCCCCCGTTTTCCCTGACATTTCCTGGTTTCACCCATAGTCCTTAACTGTGATAACCATGCCTGATGTCATGCATCAGATTTGACAGTCTTGTACCATTTGAAAAATTGCATGATTGGAACAAAAATAAAAGAGAGAGGAAATTCGTGGAAAGTGTTTTTTGATCCATTGTTACACATTTGATCAAAGACTCAAAATTCAATTTTCTGATAAATTCGATTATAAAAAACGACAATAAAACACCTACAATCAATATTCAGTCTGATAATCAACAGTCAATAATCAATTCATAGTCCACGAATTTTAGATGAAAAGGATTCAGCTCAGGGCTAAGAAGTGAATAAAAATACCTGTTTCTGGCGACTTCCATTCAATTATAAAGAAAAATTACCCTTTTCAATTCTAAAATTTTGACTTGACTGCTGATTGACCGTGCTAAGGAAGAACGTTGTGTGAGCCTCCAGACGTTGCCCAATTTCTTTTCACAACTTTGGTGAAAAAATTTAAACATTTTTCTTCCGATTTTTTGGTGAATTTTGTTTGTAATTTGATCTAAGGTATGAGGAAATTTCACGGAAAAATATTCACAACTTCCTTCAAAAATAAGTATTTTCAATGAGGAAATTTGGCAACATTTGAATGCTCATATGGCGTTTTTCTTAGCACTTAGTATGTAATGGTATAATTAGGCACTTTAGTAATGGTCTCGGATAGGAAATAATTCAGTTTAATGGACAGCACTAAGTAAAAAACACTAAAAAAACTATCACGTAAGTTTGAAAAACTGAGCACAAAACGGAATAATTCCCCAACAAGAAGGTCAATTAGAAATTATTTTACTTCACAATTTTCACTGAACTTCGATCATCTCACTGTATTGTAATCTGCATCGTAAAATATTTGAGGTTGAGACTTAAAATAAGAAATAATATCACCTTAATACATTTTACAAAGAGTACTATTAAAGTAAGTATTTGCTCTAAACCTTGGATTATTTAACCTAATATTTAGAGGAATATTCTTTTTGCCTGTTTTTTTTCTTTTTTGTATTTTCTCTCAGTAGACAGAGCAAATCAATTTTGATGTCTCATTTCTATTCTCCAGTTGCTTGCTTTCTCGATTTTTTTTTAGAAAAAAGGTATGTAATACTTTTAATTGTGAATTTTCTTAGTTTATATTTATTGCAGCGTTTCATATTGAATTTATTTTGACTTCATGATGTTTTACAAATAGAGTATCAAATTAAGGTTGTCGTAGTGACCTCCACAGTATCCAAACTTTCTGTTATTCCAACAGGGAGACTTTCACATAAGTTCAGGTAGTCCAAGGTTTAGTGCATTTGAATCATCTTCAGAGTTAATGAAAATAATTTAAGACGGTAGAATCTCTATCTCTGCTAGATACTGTGTATCCTGAGAAGCCCTTGATTTTTTGGCGCATGGGTCAACTAAAACCAAATGCAATTTGATTTTGAGATATGCCTATCCCATAATGATTGCCAGAATATGAGATGAATAAAGAAAAAAATGTAAATATTTGTGGGCCAATTGACTAATTTACAAAGCTAAGAGTGTGTTGATGATAACCATTAAATCTAGGATTTATTCTCATTGGTTCCAGAAAAAATATAACCGCAACAAATTTTTCCATACGCAATGGCAAAATGAGAGGGCAAGTGAAGAGGTCTTGCAAAATTGGAGCTTTGTAAAAAGTAGGTACGTTTGTGACGTCCGGCCTATTCTACCGAATTGATTTTTCTTCATTAATTCTGAAGACAACATTCTTCCTTTACGAGTAATCCTTGTATCTTTAAAGCAGGTACGGTGAAAGAGAAAAATGGGCAGGTTTTGAGGCACATGATAACAGAAACCAAGCCATCCTTTAGATGCTTCAAATTGCGAACTAAAACTACGATAAACAAAGCGGAAAAAGGTGAGATTTGAATGGCCTGACACTTGCAGTATTTCTATTGTGGTAAACAACCCACAAACTAAATTGGTGTTCAACCTTTGAGTGTCTTTTGAGTAAAATACTCGATAATCTTTGGGAAGATAACTACTGTTGTAGAGCACGTCATTGTAACATAAGGGCCTGAAGATTCCTGTTTAATATAGACTCTTTAACGGCATTGAAGACTACTTTAATGTTTTCTGTATCGACCGCCGTCGTAAAATGATGGAACAATGACTTACGTGGATCTTTTTTCACAGCTCTGAACATGGTGAGAAGGAAAGTTTGAACATCTTGTAAGTTTTTGGAGTCCCCGGTGAATTCTGGAAAGAACCAACGAATGTCCGTTTCGTTGGTTTTCAGTTTTTCAGCCAGAAGATCCGTTTTGTTCATGAACAGTATTATAGAGACACCTCGAAAAACTACATTATTTACAATTGTATCAAAGATATTTTTTGACTCCTCTAGTCTATTGGTTCGTCTGGAAAAAACAAAAAATGAAAATTTATTAGAGATGGGAGAAAATAATTTTCGTTTTGCACAACAGAGGAATATTAACACCTAAAAATTTCATGAAGGCTGAGACCAAATGTTGAAATGCTGTGATTGAATATTTGCTGTGAACTGGGTAGCAAACATTTTAATGATAAGTAGACAATGTTGATAGTAAGCAGTAAATGTTTGCAAGAAAAGGAGCCTTGCCGCACAAACAACCTGTATTTTAGGCAATCCTAAGTTTCCCGCTGTTGAGTGAACTGTTCTCACGTCACACCTTCTCCTAGTTACCACTAGTAAAAAAAAAAATTTGGGGAAAAAACAGTGAGCTAAATTCACTTGATAGTTTCAAATGATGAAATGAAAAAAAGGATTCAACTAGCCTATTGGTTGCACAAAAACGATTTGCAAAATGAACACTGTATGTGTTGTTCTCCTATGCGTGCGGATCTCATAAGAAACGGAGAAAAGCTGCACAAATCATGCACCCTTCCAAAAACATCTCATACCGCAGAAACTTATGGCCAATTCTTTATGTGTAATTAATTAATTCATAGATTTTTGCATTGTTCCAGTGATTAAGTGTCCAGATGAACAACAACCAGACAGTAATGCCACGTTGCATTCAATGTTGCAAAGAGGTATTCATTTCGTAAAGAGCAACTGAAAATTTTTATCATCACATCTTGGCGTGAGTAAATGGTTTAAAAAAACTGCAAGCAGTTGCCATTATTCTCATTCAAACTGCCATCCTTAACTTTGCTGATTATTTTTTTAAAGTTAGTTGATCTGGATTTCAGTCAATTTCTTTCATCGTCTCCTCTCAAATGAAATTCATACCAACTTGGGTCTAGATCATTTTCGGAAACCAAATGTAATTTTATACACATCCAAATCTGGCACATCCTATTAGTCCTTGAATATTTTCCAAAATTTGTTTCCAAAACTTTCAAAATGGATGGACTTAAAGAGTACTAGGGTGTCTAGCAATTTTAAAACAAAAATTCCCTGACATTTCCCTGATTTCCCTAACAAAAAAGGCCAAAAAACCGTTAAAAAATGCTTAATTCTCTGACAGGCGGAAAAATGATTTCCTGACAAAAAGGAAAAAATTCCTAACTTTTCGGCACGTTTGAACTGGTTAGATGTAAGTAAGAATTTTTTCATATTTTAGGAATATAATGTAAAAAATAGAGCAAAATATATGGTGTATAGACTTATGCGAGATATTTTTGCATCATTTATAAAATTTAAAAGACATCAGCAGAAATTCGGGTAAAAATTTTGATAGAAATTTCCGCAGGAGTAAAATTCACAAAACACTTTCCAAAATATTTGTGTTTTTTTATTTCACTGACGTTTCCTTGACACAAAAATTGCTTGTAAAATAAAATTCCTTGACATGCCAAATGTTTGCAGATTCCCTGACGTTTTCCCTGATTTCCCTGACACCCAAAAAAATTCCCTGACATTTCTGAGTTCTCCCGGTCACTAGACACCTTGAGTACGTATATTTTCATTTGTAGCTACACAATCTTTACAGTATTTCCGTGAAAGAGGATTGAACTTGAAAAATTACCTGTCTTCAACCAAGACTTGGTCAAATTCAGAGGAGGAGACTAGAAAGAGGATAGAAGTAACAGAGTCGAAACACTGAAACCATTTCTGCCGCTGAGATCGTTGTCCACCTACATCCACAAATCTGAACGGTATGTTGTTTATAGGAATAATGAATTCAGATATCCCTTTAGTGGCCTTCCTTGCATGTAATATATCCTTGTTGGTGGGTATATAATCCTGTAACATAAGGAGATTTTCCATTAGCTAAAATAAGAAGATAATTATGAGATTAAATAATATTAAGCTTGTTTTTGAAGGGCTTTTAATAAGGCTTGCGAGGTGCTACATCTGAATGGAATTGACGCTATGTCAACACAAAACTTCGCTAACTGTCGAACACAAAGTGTCTTATCTGTTGGCAAACTAAGATTTTTTAGCCTTTCTTTTAATTTTATTCATTTACGCCTTGTTTTTTGAGCTTAATTTCAAAGTTTTACACAACTCACATTTTTCAATAGGTACTTGACAGGAATAATTACCAAGTCATTTTCAGTCATGTTTATTAACCACTTAGTATATCAGAAAAATTTGATGGCTCTTTTTCAGGATCCTTAAATACAAAATTGCCTTTACACCTTTAAAAATCTTACACAAAATTTCTTAATGTACTATTACCATCTGCCTATGTTAAATTCTTCCTACGAGGTGCTAAGGAAACTCACGACTGGACATGTCATCGAGTTGGAGAATTTCAAAAATCAATAACAGTCTTCAAAAATTACTTACCTTCACGGCTTAACTACATAATGTAAGCATGAGGGGCAAAAAACAAATAATGATTACAACTAGAGTCCTGTCCTATCTTGCTAAGGGCAAAATTTTTTACCATATATTAACATGTTTCGTGCCTTGTTGTGCATCCATTATTCCTGATAATTTATTAAGGTTAAATTCATATTTTGACTGATGATTTGGTAATTCAAATAATGGGCCTGAAGATTTTCAGCCATGGGTAACCATATTTTCAGCCGTAAGTAAGTGATGTAAAATTATTGCATCATCTTGAATTTTTTGACTGCTGAACACGGTCTCTGTAACTGGAGCTACTTAAACTTCTTTCTTGCCTTCAGTATTCCAAAAGCAGGAGTTCTACACTGTGCAAGAGGCGATGCTTTTTTAAAATGATAACAGGGACATGAGGTAATGTGCAGTAACTATGTTTGAGATTTTCTTGAAATAGGGGAAAATTTGTTGGTAGACTCCAAATAGATTATCAAACTATAAGGAAGTCGATATGTAACTGAAAACACCTAAATATGAAGCGCATTATCAACTAGTGCACATGTTACCAATGGTTACTCAAAAATTAATAATATTCATCGACTTCTACTGTAATCTTTCCCAATGTTTGAATATGAAAAGCTGCAAAATTTGTCGGGGCTCTTTCAAATTAACGTTTGTCATACATGACAGAGGAATTTCAACATTGAAAGAACAACTGGAATCTGACATTGGAAAACTCACTATCACCTCAAAAGCGACAAAATTGTCAGCAGTTTAAGATGGTAAAGAAAATAATGGGAGGTACGTTATGTGATGTGTTCAGTCTGGGGCATACTACCATGTTGAACAGCATTTTAACCTAGGAGCCATAACCTCAATCTCATGATTGATTGAGAAAGATGTATAAGTCCCAAACTGTAAGATTTTCATTTCAAATTAAAAATGTTTCCCTCAATATGTTGCAAATTCTGAGGCATTTCAAAGACAAACCAAAGATACTCCTGTTGAGTAAACAAAGTGAGGTTAGGAAATGTATGCAGACTGATGTGGACTTTGTAATTGATACTTTGGGCAAAATGGGCTAAAAATTGTCACGCGAAGGCTGAAGGAGAGTGCTCTCTCCATCAGAAGGATTGAAACTATTACAAAATCAGTATATGTATGTAAACTTACCATCCTTGCAATTCTTTCTAGATTTTCAAAGAAGTACTGGACTGAGTCACTCAGTTGGAACTCCCGCCGTCGCTCGAAAGCTCTTCTGATTGAGGCATCTTTCCATAAGCAATACAATGAGGGTGCATACGCAAGGAAGAGTCTTGTGTCCAGAACCATGCTGTTTTCGAACTTTAAAACGAACTCACCGCACTCACTGTTGGCAACATTTTCCCAAGGAATGTTGAGTTTATTCCTGGCATCGACTAACACTTTCATACCTTTGACGATATTTTGATAGATGACATGTTGGTATTCTTTAATTAATTCCGGTTCAAAATGTACTCCGTGTATTATCCTCATTTGTTTGAGAAAGGTAGATTTGCCACTTTCACCAGCACCTAGTAGTAATAACTTCACTTGTCGCCTGTAGTAGTGTTTATCTTTGTCTAGCATTTTGTCTATTTCTTGACTACGGTATCTTTGCTCTATTTCCTCGGGACTGAATTTAAAACGTAAACAACACGGACATAATAAAGTAGAACTAGCCATTTTACCAGGTTTCCATTTCAAGAGTCAAAAGTTCGGGCGGTCCTGTCACAAGTCACAACATCACAACTTTGCACTTCGGCAGCACCCGTCAACTGGAGATATTTACCTATCGAAATGTATCGAAGTCGAAACTCGACTGCGATAGAATCGATATGCAGCCGTCAAATTTGAATTACTGAGTTCAGGTTTGAATAAAGCGCGCGTAGTCCACTGGCGCGCTACGTTTTTGATCCGTTGCAGACTGATTATTAGAATTGATAGAACAATTGATAGAAGAATTATTGATCGACTGAGAGCCATATTAAAAATGGAGCAATCCTATTGGTGAAAGCGGGTGGATAGCATGGACAAAGGAGGTAAGCAAGTACTAGACTAACAAATGGCAACCCACGAGAGACCCTATGGATAGTTAAACCATCATTTTACCGCTCGGTCTATAAAAACCACCCGCTTCAACCAATAGGATTGCTCCATTTTTCCTTTATCTTCTTTTCATATTACTTTGTCTATCAATTTTAATAATAAACCCGCTGCTGTATCATGGGTCCAAGAAAGTTGTGCCCTTGGCATTGGTGCAAAGTGACATGAATGAGTTTGGTACGTCATGTATGGGATTGGTTGTTTTTTCTACTCTGCGTACAAGTCTCTAAAAACTAGCGGCAATCTACGCCAGACCCTCTGGTTAGTCCATCATTTTACCCTTAAGCAACCACCTGTTATAACCAATAAGACCACTCCATTTTCCCCGTTTCTGCCTTGTCTATCGCTTTGTCTATCAGTTTCAATAATCAGCCAGCTGCAGTGCGTGCGTTTATATGCTTAATAGTGTTTAAGATAATTGTAAGTAATCATTCCAATAAAAGTACAATTCTACACTCATACTGGAGCACACACTTAAGTAAAGTCTCTCTAGTCATTCCCTCCAAATTCTGAATTCATCCTCAGTAAGATATTTTATGAACGGTTCAATTAAGCTGAGGTGCATATCAGAAAGTGAAAAAATCCGTACCCATAAATTTTTCAAAATCTCCAACTATGTTGTATTCTTTTAAAGAGAAAACCAACCAAAATATCTCCCTGGATTTTTCTGTGAATTCGTTTGAGTGAGGGAAGAAAAATTCTAAGAAAATTTCGAGAAAAACTGTTCGTTAGTTTCTTTAAAAAATATATAACTTGGGCGAAAATTTGCAACGTCGCAAACGTAGATACGCACTTTTCGACATTTACCGTCAAATTACTTTTATTGTTGTGTGAGGACATTCATTAAGAGAGACTGCCTGCGCGTCGAACATTTATTTGCAATGGACAAATTCTGCATTGGACTTTTTGAAGTGGACATTATCACAACGGTCAATTTTTTTTTGGCCATTTAGTATACTGGACATTCAAAACATTGGGGATTTAGATGGGACATTTGTATCTATCGCCCAAGGAACTTGTTTGTTACATCTTCACGGCTAGATCCTCAAAGATACCCAGAGTGGCGCGCCTTCATTTTTATGCACGCAATATGGACATCGCCGGAGCAGGAATAGTTGTATCATGCACGGCGTTTGTCGACCGAGCCATCTGAGTATAGAGGCGCTGTGCATGGTTTGTTCTTTTCAATGAATGGAAAATGTCATGGAATGTCAAATGATGAAAATCTCTTTTTTTCCAAATTGTTATATCATTTGATACTCCAAACCTACTGACACATACTCCATACATTTTTAAAAAATTATGTAATTATTTTGTCATTTAAAACGGAACCTGATAGAAATATTCAATTTAAAACAGGCTTCTTTCTATGGAGGGAAATTAAATGTAGGTATAACGGTCCTCAGAAGAAGGGGCACTGCCGAAAAATTCAACTTTGAGATATTGTTACCTATTTGCTTGGAGGAATGTTTAACGAAAGGCAACGGCACAAAAGCCAGGAAATTTCCAAGCAAACCAGAGTTCAGACGGTTTAAAGTTTTCAGTTCTAGGTATGTAGTCTTGAAAAAAATCAATTTCAAGTTTTGATCGGTTGTGTTAATGTTTAAAATGCCCACAGCTTATTATTTGTCTTACTACAGAATATTTTCCGCTCCTGTGAAGAATTTACATTTCCTGCGTCGGTCTGGATGGTCTGGAAAACGACGCATGATCATCAAACGTTGCCAAGTTTCGTCGGATAAAATGCGAATTTTCTTGAAAACTCGCTAATTTTTCTCCGTGAATCCTCCTCGAAGTTTTACTCACAGTTCAATTGAAAGCACCTGAAAATATTTCATTAAAAAAAAAATCATTGAAAAGTATGTAAAGCTTTCCTTGAAAATACATATTTTGAAAGAAAATTTCGACAATCTTAAAATGCTCTTACGACTTTCTTCCTTAGCACGGCAGCATAGACAGCCACTCGCNGGGGGGGGGGGGGGGGGGATCTCACCTTCTTAAGATTGAGCGCTTTCTATTGATAAGGGCACTGACACCTGTAATCGATTTTGTTTGAAATCGATCCGATCATTTGTGTCAGAAATTCGCTCAAAGCATATGTTGAAATGGCGAGCAGTTAACGATGATAAATTGCATAACAGCATAAATAAAGTGGACAAATAATTGTTCCGAATAATAACTAGCTGTGATGCGTTAACAAGCGCACGACTTTATCAGTACTAGTAATGACAAATAATTATAAACATGCACGGGCTAATATGAGGCCTTGCCAGGTTCTTTCGTCGTGCATTTACGTCATTTTATAACAGGCTTGCACTGTTCTGCCGTGCTAAGGAAGACGCCGTATGAGCATTCTGCTGTTGCAAAATTTCTCCAAACAAAATATTTATTTTTAAAGAAAGTTGTGCATATTTTCTCTTGAAATTTTCAGATGTCTTACGTTAAATTGCAAATAAAATTGTCTGAAAAATGGAGGAAAAATATTCGGAATTTTCCTAGTAAATTCGGCTTTCGTCGAAAGCAATATGGCAACGTTTGAAGGCACAAACGGCGTTTTTCCTTAGCACGGCAGTGTTGTGCTACGGTAAAACGTCGTAAGCGCATTTGAATGTTCCCAGACTTTCTCTGATGAAATGTAAATTTTTTAAGAAAAGTTTTAAATGATTTATCCGGAATTTTCCCAAGAAAACTAGGCCATAAAATGTGAAATCTCAGAGACAAATGTTCACAAATTTTTAAAATTATTCTACTTTGAAAATATGGCAACATTCATAGGTACGCTATTTTTTCTTAGCATCGCGTGCTGAACTTTTACGCTTTTCGGGTGGCAGTATATCCGTACTTTCTGCAGTTTATCACTTCAAATCCCGGGACTCGCTGTTGACTTATAGAAGACGCGTTTCTCAATAATTACTAGGCGTTAATTTTTTTTTTTCCGCTCTCTTTTCAAATAAAAAAAAAAAGAAGTTTACGCATTGCCCTTTAAATTCTTACAAAATATTCTTTGGAGGGTGCAGCAATTTCACACAAAATTTCAAAATAAAATGTCAGTTCGCTTTCCTCAGAAAAAAAAAAAAAAAAAAAATTAAACATCTTCGACAATCTGCAATGTCACGACCTGAGATAAATCTTTTTGAACTTTCACAAGCTATATTTTTAAAAGCGGCGAATTTCGTTGTGGAAGACCTGCAAAATCCACAAGCTATAGTTTTGGAAATCCAAGTTTGTAATATATGTGAGATTCCTTTTTTTCTTTTTTGTTTGGACCGAGAATGAAAAGGAGCTCAAACATTATTAACATCATGACAACCTTTTCAGAATGAATATCCTTCAAATGTTTCACGATTACATATGATTCTCATACAAAGACGTGAGTTTTCAACAAAAAAATCCTAGTTCGTCCATCTCATTTTATTTTTAATTTTTATTTTTTCTGCTCATGGTTTTTTTTTTTAATGTTCGTTATTAGTTATTATTATTATTTTTGTGTGCGGAGTATTTAGCTCAATGAAGGGGGGGGGGGCGAAGAAAAATGTGGACTTTTTCAAACTTTACAATCCACATACATTGTTCATCTTCGGTTCCACCACTTTGTAGGCTGCTTTAGCGAGCGCTACTCCAAATGTTCTCGTCGATCGCAATAAAGTTGAAAGTTCAATTTTCCTCTATTTGTTGCGGGTATCATTGCCCATGCTCATGCTTGCACTGCGACTTTTTCTCAATGCCATTCTCACTCCTCGCGGACACGGATTATCATCGCTCGACTCATCGTCAGCGTTTCCGTTGCAACGAAGAATTCGCCCATTTTCTCACCGGAAGAAATGCAAACCGGGCGAATTTTACCCACAAAACGGCAACACCGCTCATTGTCGCGTAGTAGCGAAACTCAACTCTCTGATGGCGCGAAGTGCATCGACGTTTTTGCGAGATAGGCAAAACTGCAGCTTGATAACACACGGTGCGCGATAAGGCCGTTTGGACAGTGTTGCATACTAAACTGTCATGAGTGCGGGTCACTTACGTGAGTCACAAAAACGTGATTTGACGGTTTGGTTTTTTGGTCGGTCAAAAAATAGCGAAATTCCTCCTAGTGCCAAGTCTACTCTATCAAAAACATCGCTCTCAGGAGATAAATAAATAAACGCAACCCATGACATCATTGCATTTAAGTGTGTGTCCCGCAAAAGTGAATCATAATGACATTGTCATTCTGATATCACATACCTGCTGCTCTCTGAAACAAATCAGTAGCATTACTGTGATGTCAGTCTGACGTCACTCTGATGTCGTTACGAACAGTGTGAAATCGGAGTGCTTCTCAGTCGACGCACTGATATCACACTGCCTCCTGGAACAAACAGCATGTCACCCGAATAATGTCCTAGGATGCGTAAGGAAGCTCAACGATATGGGTGAAGCATCTGGCTGCGATTACCGTAACTTTTCTGACTGTTATACGTCAGCTGCAGCGAATGTGAACAGTGACATCATTTGTTATGCGTATGTCGATGGTCAAAGTGGAAAACCTCGCATCTCCGATGCAGCGTTTCAAAATTTCCGCTCCTATTTTATTTTTCGAGGAGCAGAAAACCATTTTCATGGTCTGTTTATACATAATATTCTGCTAACGGAGAGGAATAATCAAAAAAGTTTTCAAGAAATTACGTAAA